GACGTCGAATTGAAGATCGAAGCCCTCAAGAAGGCCATCATGCTCCTCCTCAACGGCGACACCATTCCCCAGCTCTTCATCACCATCATCCGATACGTACTGCCCTCCGAGGACCACACAGTCCAGAAGCTCCTCCTCCTCTACCTTGAGATCGTAGAGAAAACCAACTCCAAAGGCAAGATCCTCCCAGAGATGATCCTCATCTGCCAGAACCTCCGCAACAATCTTCAGCACCCGAACGAGTACATCCGAGGCGTTACGCTGCGATTTCTCTGCCGATTGAACGAGGCCGAGATCATCGAGCCTCTGATCCCTTCGATTCTCGCCAATTTGGAGCACCGCCACCCATTTGTTCGACGAAATGCCGTGCTGGCGATCATGTTCGTGTATAGGCTTCCGCAGGGGGAGACGTTGCTAGATAGCGCGCCGGAGATCATCGATCGGTTCTTGGCCTCCGAGCAGGACCCTTCCAGTAAGCGAAATGCTTTCCTTATGCTCTTTAATTGCGCGCAAGATAGGGCTGTGCATTATTTGTTTACACATATCGGTAGGATTATTGAGTGGGGTGAACAGCTCCAAATGGTCGTCTTGGAATTGATTAAGAAGGTCTGTAGAGTGAATAAGGGTGAGAAATCCAAGTACATTAAGATTATTATATCACTGCTGGATGCACCGTCGAGTGCCGTTGTTTATGAGTGCGCTGGAACGCTTGTGTCGTTGTCTTCGGCGCCTACAGCCATAAAAGCAGCTGCCAACACTTATTCTCAGTTGTTGTTGTCGCAGAGCGATAACAATGTGAAGTTGATTTTGCTGGATAGGATTAGTGAGCTCAAGGCTTCGCATAGGGAGATTATGATTGAGTTGGTTATGGATGTGCTGAGGGCACTGTCAAGTCCGAATGTGGATATTAGGAGGAAGACTCTTGATATTGTGCTTGATTTGATTACGCCCAGGAATATTAATCAGGTTGTGATGATGTTGAAGAAGGAGGTCGTGAAGACTCAGAGTGGGGAGCTTGAGAAGAATGGGGAGTATAGACAGATGTTAGTGCAAGCAATATATGCATGCGCAGTTAAGTTTCCTGAGGTGGCAAGCACGGTGGTGCATCCTCTGATGGATTTCTTGGGCGATACCAATGTTGCTTCGGCCCTGGATGTGGCCGTTTTTGTGCGTGAGATTATTGAAACCAACCCCAAGCTGCGTGTTTCTATAATAACGAGGCTGCTAGATACTTTCTACCAGATCCGCAATTCGAGGGTTTGCACTCATTCCCTCTGGATTATCGGGGAGTATTGTCTCTCGCTTTCTGAAGTTGAGAGTGGGATTGCAACCATTAAGCAATGTCTTGGGGAGCTCCCATTTTACACAGCTTCTGAGGAAAAAGAGGCACAAGATGCTACGAAGAATTCTCAGGTGGTAAGCTCGACCACTGTGTCTTCTAGGAGGCCTGTGATCCTTGCAGATGGGACCTATGCCACCCAGTCTGCTGCACTGGAAACTGCTATGTCTGCACCTGTCCTGGTTCAAGGATCTTTGGCTTCCGTGGGGAACTTGAGATCATTGATTCTCTCGGGTGATTTTTTCCTTGAGACAGTTGTAGCTTGCACATTAACAAAGCTGGTTTTGAGATTGGAAGAGATTCAGCCTTCAAAGGCTGAAGTGAACAAGGCAACTACACAGGCATTGTTGATCATGGTCTCTATGCTTCAATTGGGTCAATCCTCGGTCCTTCCGCATCCAATTGATAATGATTCTCGAGATAGAATAGTTCTTTGCATCAGGTTACTATGCCATAAAGGTGAAGAAGTAAGGAAGATATGGCTAGAGTCATGCAGACAGAGCTTTGTGAAAATGCTTGCAGATAAGCAGCTCCTCGAAACAGAGGAAACTAAAGCTAAAGCTCAGATATTGAGTGCACAACCAGATGACCTTATTGATTTCTACCACCTTAAGAGCAGAAAGGTAAGGTAGCATTAGGCTTTTCTTGTCTCAATTCGGATAGACTGCTAAAACCATTGTTTTCGCCATGTAGTTTGGATGCTTTTTTTATATGTACACTTTTTTTTTTTTCAGGGTTTGAGCCAGCTCGAGTTGGAAGATGCGGTTCAAGATGATCTCAAACGTGCTACTGGAGAATTCACAAAGGATAGAGATGATGCAAACAAACTCAACCGCATTCTTCAGCTCACAGGATTCAGTGATCCTGTTTATGCTGAAGCCTATGTAACAGTTAATCATTATGACATTGTTCTTGATGTTACCGTCATCAATCGAACCAAAGAAACCCTTCAGAATTTGTGCTTGGAGTTGGCCACAATGGGTGATCTCAAACTTGTTGAGCGTCCACAAAACTATACGCTAGCTCCGGAATCAAGCAAACAGATAAAGGCTAACATTAAGGTCTCTTCAACTGAAACGGGAGTTATATTCGGTAACATTGTATACGAGACTTCTTCAAATGTGCTTGAGAGAACAGTTATTGTTCTCAATGACATTCATATTGATATAATGGATTACATCTCTCCTGCATCATGTGCTGACGTGTCATTTAGGACGATGTGGGCTGAGTTTGAGTGGGAGAACAAGGTACAGTAATTTGATATGGTTTTGCAGTTTATTTTTATTTTTAATTCTTTTTTGTGCTTCATTGATATGATCATTAGGTGCGTCTTCTTTGAAATGGTTTCACAATGACCCAAAAGGATATGATGTCTTTGAACCCAATTACGTTATCATCAATTGATCATGTAATGCTTATGTTCACGAATGCCAATGTTCAGATATGGCTTACAAGACATGCATTTATATGATGAACCTCTTCATTGATATTTAATTGTTTGATGTTTCTGGTTATGATTATGATGATGCTGTGCCGGTAATAAAGCTGTAGTATAATAATTATAGTGGCTGTTATTATGGTTATAATGATAGTTGTGAGTTATATAATGGCATAGATTCAGTAGTATATCAGTGGCCTCATGCTAGTGGATACGTTGTGTGGTTGTTGCACCATACATGATGCAACTTGGGTAATTGCTTTCATATTATCTAATTACTGCTGGATAAAGGAGGCTCTTGTAGATGGTGTTGGTTCTGAATCATCCTTGGGTGTTAGCTCATGCATCATCTTTACATATCTAATGCTTGTGGACCTGTGTTTTCTTTCTCACATCAAATGAGATGTCCTTAATTGTGATTTATTTTTTATAACTTGATAATATTTCCTTACTGTGGACTTTTGTTTGGGTTCTCATCCACAAGCAATGTGTATCTTATATGTCAGTTTACAATTTCTTTCTTGCCACCCCTGCTCTTCCTTGGTAGATGCATTTGGATTCTACTATGCATTAACACACTCTTTTCCCCAGGTTGCTGTAAATACTGTTATTCAGGACGAGAAGGAATTTCTGAATCATGTTGTTAAAGCGACTAACATGAAGTGCCTGACTACACCGTAAGTGTTGGGACTCTATTAACCATGTTTATTATACACAGAATCACAGAATCATACATATCTATTTACATGTTGAAGAAATAAATTATTCTTTTCATGATGCACAGAATCATACATATCTATTTACATGCAAGCATACAAACATACATATATATATATATACATATGATATAATTTTCTACAACAATCATTTAAGAAGTTGACATAGTTGTCAATGGCAGTGCCATGTTGGTCACCTTTACAAGTGTGATACGTTACCAGTGCTTGGTAGAATGCACCTAATTGATGGAAGTGGAGTAGTGTAGCACACGTGACGTAAAAACTTAGCCACCATGTCATAATGTAAACAAAATACAGTTCAATATTGACATTTTCCATAGGTGCATAAATACTTGTAACATGCATATAGGAGTAAGTGTATTTTCTTTTTAATCTCTTTACGCCTTCTGGGTGGATGATTGATGGTCATTAATTCCTGCTCATCCCTGGCTAATTGGGCATTAGATTGGCACTGGAAGGAGAATGTGGAGTTCTCGCTGCCAATCTGTACGCAAAGAGTGTTTTCGGGGAGGATGCTTTGGTGAATGTGAGTGTTGAGAAACAAGCAGATGGTAAGCTCAGTGGATACATCAGAATTAGAAGCAAGACTCAAGGCATTGCTCTCAGTCTTGGGGACAAGATCACCTTGAAACAGAAGGGCGGCCTCTGACACCAAGCCTAATTTTGCAGCTGTTATTCTTTGCTTGAACCTTTGTTAGTACTAGTCTGCTTGCAGCATGAGGCCTATCTATATTCATCGCACTTGCACTTAATTTTTGTGCTTTTACCGGGGATCGCATCCGTTATAGAATTCTTTTGATTTTTTCTTTTTCCCAGTAAGTGGATAGTTAGGACATATTGCTCGTATCCACAATATATTCAGAGTAAATTTGTAGTGATGCCCACTGTATACATTTCTTCTGTCAATTGTAACATTTCATGTTTTCAATTTGTATTAGCTGTTGCCATTAATACCCCCAGCAACATAATTTTAATATCAAGTTTATCGACTCATTTTCTTTTATTAAGCTTTGTGTTAGATATTTCTATCAATTGATACTTCCCTGGACCTTCATTATTTTATTAGATTTATTAATGATGACCACACAAAATTTGATGGGCCAAAATTCAGACACCGTTGCGTTTCTAGGAGTTTGATTTTCGGATTAATTTTTCGATTCCCAATAGACAATTACTTCAAGAAACCAAAAAAATAAATAAAAAGATAAACTGTTCATAACCTTCATCATCCTTAAACTTATATTAATGATATTCTAACAAAATTTAGGGGACTTTTGGGAAGTTAATTATGGGCAAACAATTTGTGTACGAAGCGCCTAAATAGCTATTTGATAAAAATAAATTAATAGTACCAAAAAAGAAAAAGCTATTGAAACAAAAATAAATTTAAAAATAGATAAAGTGATATTAGCAAACATGTTTAAAATATTCGATAAATTGTTAATAGGGATAGGCTCTCAAAAGTAAAAATTACTACTAAAAAAAAAACAGAAGAAAAAAGAAAAAATGAAAAACCACCCTAACCCTTCCTCGACCATCCCCAGAACGCAGCCCCTCCATTTTCCTCACCCAGCACAAATCCTCAATGACTTGATGGCCTAACAAAGAGGCTGACAAAAACCCTTCGACGACGGCTAGCTCCTTCTCCTTCTCTGGACTTCCGTTGAGCAGCTGTTGCGCAACTTTAAGGGGTAGGGACCTTCAAGCCCATTTTCATGGCTGCCATTGACCCCATGGTGGCTCCACCAGTGGCAATGGCATAAACCCTTGAGTAAAATCCACAAAATCCAGAGACCCAAAACAACTAATTACATGCATTTTACTATGGATCTTAGAAGGCTTTCAATCTCGAAACCCACTCTTCTCTTCCGCATCAACCGCCCCTTAACGTGCGTTACCTGCAACCTCCAACGCCCCAAAGAGCCTCCTCAACCGCCACCATTACAGGTTCCGAAGGAACCACAGCCTCCCAATCAGAGTTTGCACAACTGGGTATCTTCTATTCTTTCAAAACCATCTCTGGATTCTTCTAAATGTAAAGCTCTGATACCCCTTTTGTCATCTCAAGAATTTGATAGGGTATTCTGTTCCATTAGCTCCAATGTGAACCCCAAAACAGCTCTTCATTTCTTTTACTTTGCTTCTGAATCTTTTAAGTTTCAGTTTACTGCACGATCCTTTTGTGTTTTAGTTCGTCTGCTTATTCTTTCGAATCTTGTATCGCCTGCGAGATTGCTTTTGATCCGTTTGATTGATGGGAATGTGCCAGTTTTATATGCTAACCACAATCAAAGGCATATGGAGATTGCCATTGCCATGTTAGACTTGAATACCGTGTCCACACAAGGTCTTGGGGTTCAGGCATTGGATTTGTTGATTCATGTTTACTGTACGCAATTCAAGAATATGGGTTTTGGTTATGCCATTGATGCGTTTGTAATTTTTTCTAAAAAGGGTGTTTTTCCATCATTGAAGACTTGTAACTTTTTGTTGAGTTCTTTAGTGAAGGCTAACGAACTTCATAAGAGTTATGATGTATTTGAAGTTATGTGCCGAGGTGTTTCTCCTGATGTTTACTTGTTTACTACCGCGATTAATGCATTTTGTAAGGGAGGGAAGGTTGATGATGCAATAGGTTTGTTTTCGAAAATGGAGGGGCTGGGTATTGTCCCAAATGTGGTTACGTACAATAATATTATTCATGGGCTCTGTAAGAGCAAAAGATTAGTAGAGGCCTTCCAGTTTAAAAAGAAGATGATAGAAAACAATGTGGGCCCGAGTCTTATAACATATAGTGTGCTCATTAATGGTTTGATAAAGCTGGAGAAGTTTCATGATGCAAATTGTGTTTTGAAGGAAATGTGCAACAGAGGATTTGTCCCGAATGAGGTTGTCTATAACACATTGATCGATGGATATTGTAAAACAGGAAATATTAGTGAGGCACTAAAGATAAGGGATAATATGTTATCCAATGGGTTAACTCCCAATTCTGTTACTCTTAATTCTCTACTGCAGGGGTTTTGTAGAAGTGATCAATTTGATCATGCTGAGCAAGTTTTAGACAAGATTTTCTCTGGTGGTTTATCCATAAACCAAGCTGTTTGTTTCTCGGTTATTCACTGGTTATGCATGAAGTCTAGGTTTGATTCTGCACTAAAATTCACTACTGAAATGCTATTAAGAAACTTTAGGCCCAGTGATAGCTTGCTTACCACATTGGTTGGTGGGCTCTGTAAAGATGGAAAGCATTCTGAGGCACTTGGGCTTTGGTTTAGGCTATGGGAGAAAGGAGTTGCAGCCAACACAGCGACCTCAAATGCTCTAATTCATGGACTTTGTGAATCTCGTAGCATGCAAGAGGTTGTTATGCTACTCAAACCGATGCTAGAAAGAGGTTTGGTATTGGATAGAATCTCATACAACACACTTATCTTGGGTTGTTGCAAGGAGGGAAAAGTGGAGGAAGGTTTTAAGCTTAAGGAAGAGATGGCTAAACAAGGAATTGAACCAGATACTTATACTTATAATTTGCTAATGCATGGCCTGTGTAATATGGGAAAAGTGGATGATGCGATTAAACTTTGGGATGAGTGTGAAAATCGTGGTCTTGTTCCCAATGTCTATACATATGGGGTGATGATAGATGGGTACTGTCAAGCTGGAAGAATGAAAGAGGGTGAAAATCTCTTCAGTAAGTTGGTGAATAAGGAAGTGGAACTAAATTCAGTTGTTTATAATATACTAATCAGAGCATACTGCACAGATGGGAATATGACTGCGGCCCTTGGTCTTCGTTGTGACATGAAAAAGAAGGGCATTCAACCATCTTGTGGCACATATTCTTCTCTTATACATGGACTCTGCAATATTGGCAATGTTGAGGATGCAAAATGCCTTCTGGATGAAATGAGGAAGGATGGTTTGTTGCCAAATGTTGTTTGTTACACTGCACTGATTCATGGTTATTGTAAGCTAGGCCAAATGGATAAAGTAAGGAGTGCCTTTCTGGAGATGTCTTCAGATAACATACAACCTAATAAGATTACCTACACTGTCATGATTGATGGGTATTCTAAACTAGGCAATATGGAAGAAGCAACTAAACTTCTATGCGAGATGGCAAAAATGGGAATTGCCCCAGATGCCGTTACCTATAATGCCTTAACAAATGGATTTTGCAAAGAAAGGATGGTGGAAGAAGCTTTTGAAGTATGTGATCATATGTCCAGTAAAGGTGTAGGTTTAGATGAGATTACATATACAACATTGGTTCATGGGTTGCATCAGCCCACTACATGTGCAAATCAGGAATGATATGGAAACATTCAAAAGGTTAGGTGTTTACTTTCTGCATGAAGAATTCTTATTTTTAAAAAGTTATCATATTTAATTTGCGCATCTTGTTCTGAAGTAATATGGTTAATGTGCAGGTGCACATTCTTATTCTTAATACTGCTGACTGTAGACCATGGGATAAATGTTACATCTCCTTACCATCTCCAAAATGATCCTTGAACATGGGAGGTTGGTAGATCTGTACAGAATTCATTTTTTGCATCATATTTGTTTGAAGATTGTTTCATTACTTGTAATTCAATTGCTTTTAGGAGTTTATAGTTATTGGTTAGGATGAAAATAATTAGTTCATAATTGTTGCTTTTCTTTTTGGGTCTGAGCATAATTGTTTCTTTTACCATGTCATTTTTTCATCTTGTTCTTTTAGCAACATCTTGTTTTGGTGAACTCATTTATGATTTTCACTATGCCATGTACTTATGGAGTGTCATCCGTTAGCAGTTTAATAAGTTATGTCAAGTTGTATTCACTTGAATATAATGACAAATTTCCATTATATGTTGTAAGATTGAAATTCTCAATGTATGTGGCTCCTATTAGCTCCTATCAGCTCCTATGTCAAGTCTGTCTGATGAATCAACTTTTAAGTCCATTTCCTCTCATTAATAGTACTATTATTGTAACTTGACATAGTGTTGTTGGGCCTTTGCATAGGTGGTAACTGTGTTGAGCTGGGGGCACCTATGATATAATTACCATCTGTTTACAAATCAGGGTTGTCTGATTCTTAACTATCTTTGTTAGAAAATAAAATTGGATTAAGGTGGATAGCATATATGCTATTTTCTTTTGGTTAAGGAATCTAAGGCTTGTTTGACTTGATTCTGGAAGGTTTTCACATTGTCGTCCTTTATGATAGTTATGTACACATATTCGTCTCCCTTATTTCCCTCTTAAGTAAACCAATTGGTACTAAAGCTAGAAGCAGTTATGGTGTGGTGTCAAAGAGAGCAAAATTTAAATTTCTACGGATATTTCAGACTTTTCTTCTTGAAGCCCTTATTGTGATTACAAACTGGAACTACTGTTTTAGAACATGCTGAGAAAAGAGCCTTAATATAATTGTAATGGTTTTGTAGACTGGAATCCCTTACCTGTCTTTTTGTATCTCTCTGTCACGTAATTTCACCAAACTTTTATTGCTCTTTCTAGCCCATGGTTGTGGGCTGATCAACATTTCGAGGGGATCATAAATGGAGATTCAAAATGTATAAAAATAGCGGAACTACTATTTTTAGTTCATGCTGGTTTCTAATAATGGAATCTTTGGCATCTTTAATTTGCCAACTTCAGCTCTATCTTTTTCAACGTTTCTGTACTTCTTTGATACAAAATCTGAGTAGTCTTGACTTTAATACATGCTGACATATTGAAGAGTGCAATGAGACAATGAAATATTTAGCTGGTGATGAAATGTGTTCCTTGAAAGGGAAAAAGGAAAACATATCTCTGTTAATCACAACAAACCCTAAGGTTTTCATAGGAACTATGAAGTCAAAGGCTAACCATTCTAAGAAACAAAAGTAGAGCCTCTGATTTGTAGTCTTGGCCTTTATGGCTTTTGATCACTAGTTGTGAGTCATGACTAATGACCCTTGGCATCCCTCAGAAAAATTAGACTTGTGAGCTCACTTCTATCATTATCTTCCCTGCCCCCATCCCCCTAAGTAGAATACAGAAACGTAAAACCTTAAATTAAGAAACTGCTAAAGTATCATTGAATAGTGTGGCTATAGTACTACTTTTATATAGATATCCTTTATTTTCTATCTAAAATGTTCTACTGCATTAGTATTCATCATAAGGTTGTCCTAACTCTTTACATTAGAGGATCTATATTAATAACTTCTTACGAACTTTTATGCTTGTCACCAGTTGCAACCTGTAAGTATTTGAGTTTGGAACTGGCTTTGTTTGAAGAAAAAAATTGAAAATTAGACACCAGCCATCTCAGATTTAAATCGTGTTCACTCTGTTGATGAGGCACATAGCTCGCTGATATGGCCTTAAGGAAATGTTTGAAACATCAAGATATGGCAGAATCCCAGGTATTGCACTCAAGATTTATTGCAACAACTGTTTTTGTTTTTTCTTGGGCGAAGATTTACTGCAACATATGTTTTTGTGCATTCCCTCTTGATATAATGTGGTTCATGAAGGCTAGATAACTTGTTCTGAAGGTATGCTAAAAGTGTACATATGAAAGAATAAACAAAAATTTACTATGCAAAAAATTATGTGTTGCATACAGGGGAAGGGACATTTTATTTCATAACCTTGGGCATTCAAACCCTGGCTTTAGAATTTTTTTAAAAATAATGAGCTTGTTTTTTTCCTATTGTGCACAATTATTCCTATGAGTCGCACTTGGGATACCTTTGACTCAGAAATCTTTCAGTTGGTGATTTGAAGCAGTATAGGTTATCAAAGGTTAGAAGTGTAGTTTTGGAATTGTTAGAATTGAGATTTCAACCCCTTTTTATATTTAAGTTCTCTCTCTCTCCTTTTTCTTTTATTCTTTTCTTCAGAGTGTAGGACTTGGATACCATCCAATCAGAGATTAGATATCCTGGATGATGGTAAGTTTGACCTTTTAGAAGCGGCATCACTCTTGAGAGACAAAACAATCTCAGCTTTACTTATGGTCTATTTTGATGGACGAATTTAAAACGGTAGGTTTGTAACAGTGTTTACATCACCAAGAAACATTAAATGCAATACAATCTTCTTTTTAATTTTAATTAAGTACAATTTATGTTAAACTAAATTCAGATGGAATCTTATGAATTTGAATGTTGAAATGACTAGACAGAGAGAATCATTTGAAATTTATGTCTTCTATTTCTCTTTACACAAATCCAAACTTTTACGTGAAAACTTAGCCACCATGTCATAATGTAAACAAAATACAGTTCAATATTGACATTTTCCATAGGTGCATAAATACGTGTAACATGCATATAGGAGTAAGTGTATTGAGTAAGCGTATTTTCTTTTTAAAATCTTTACGCCTTCTGGGCGGATGATTGGTGGTCATTAATTCCTGCTCATCCCTGGCTAATTGGGCATTAGATCGACACTTAAAGGAGAATGTGGAGTCCTTGCTGCCAATCTGTACCCAAAGAGTGTTTTCGGGGAGGATACTTTGGTGAATGTGAGTTTTGAGAAACAAGCAGATGGTAAGCTCAGTGGATACATCAGAATTAGAAGCAAGACTCGAGGCATTGTCCTTCAGTCTTGGGTACAAGATCACCTTGAAACAGAAGGGCGGCCTCTGATTGGACAAGCAGCCTAATTTTGCAGCTGTTATTCTTGCTTGAACCTTTGTTAGTGCTAGTTTGCTTGCAGCATGAGGCCTATCTATATTCATCTGACTTGCACTTAATTTTCGTGTTTTTACCGAGGATTGCCTCTGTTATAGAATTCTTTTGCTTTTTTGTTTTTCCCAGTAAGTGGATAGTTAGAGCATCTACAGTGGGAGGGTGTATAATAAGGTGTACGCTAAATATACACCCTTTGTAATCGGAATCACCCACAATGGAGAGGTGTAAACGAGTGTAAATTTGCATTACCACCATGAGATGCAAATTTAGATGCACATATACATCTTTTTTTACATTTCTTACAGGTGGGACTTACATGAGAAAATGTGAGAAAAAATGGAGCAAAAATCACATTTACATCCCCTTGAGGTGTATTGGGGGATGTAAAAGTGGTTTTACACCCCCGAAATTACACCCTCCCACTGTGGATGCTCTTAGGACATATTGTTGCTATCCACAATATATTCAAAGTAAATTTGTAGTGATGCCCACTGTATACATTTCTGTTGTTAATTGTAACATTTCATGTTTTCAATTTGTATTTGCTGTTGCTATCAATACCCCCAGCAAGTTTCGCCTGTCACATATTTTAATATCAAGTTTAGCGATTCATTTTCTTTTATTAAGCTTTGTGTTAGATATTGCTATTCATTATTTTAATAGATTTATTAATGACCACACAAAATTTGATGGGCCCAAAGTTCAGACACCATTGCATTTCTAGAGTTTGATTTTCGGATTAAATTTTCGATCCCATGTGATTTGCTCTTCAGCCACACCCCCCTACCTACCCAACCTAAACAGTCTTTAGGAGGTTGGAGGAACTTGATCAAACTCACACAAACGAGAAGTAAAATGAAAAACTAATCGAGGGCATTGTTGGAAATCTAAATAACTTTTCATTCATAATAATATTGTACAAATCAAACATGGAAATGGGTAAAAATGATAACTTTTCATTCATAATAATATTGTACAAATCAAACGTGGAAATGGGTAAAAATGATTTTTCCTCTGGTTCTCATTTACCGGTGTTCTCAAATATGGGAATGAACATCCTCTATTTTCATCTTGTGAGATTAGACATGGGAATTTCAATTCAAGGAAGTTCAATCTGCAAACTAAACGGGAGCTTTCTAAGTGAGGGTTTAGGCTGGATTTTTTGTAAAAGACAGCAGAGATTAGCGAGCTTCCTAAGGTTTACTGACCAAAAAGAAAAACATTAGTGAGCTTCCTTGCCCATTGCTACAACATTGTTTTGTTCCCCCTTCCGGAATAAAGGTGAAGTGAAGGTGGGCGCACGCATAATCTCAATAATTGACCTCATAGTATCTTAAAAGCAAGAAACACCCAGCAGTCTAGTTACGCAAAAGAAACAATTACTTAAAGAAACCAAAAAAATAAATCACAAAATAAACTGTTCATAACCTTCATCATCCTAAAACTTATATTAATGATGTTCTAACAAAATTTGCAGGACTTTTGGGAAGTTAATTATGGGCAAACAATTTATGGACAGCGCCCTAAATCTTTCTTTTGCATACAAGAATTTGTGTACGAAACGACTAAAGTTCCAGAATTCCACACAAGTTAGAAGAGATAGTCTGATTGTTTTGAAGTAAGTATCTGTACATTTTATATGTATGTATATAATTTGGTGGTTGGGGTCCCTAATATGTTCTGTTTGTTTGTTTGTAAGTAAGTATTAGAACCAAGGAAATTCAGTACATGGTAGTTGAGGCTTATGTGGTGTTTATCTTGCAAGTGAGGGTTGGTTTGAATATGGTTATTCTCTTTATCTGATTTGGTAAGTTTGGTGGAAAGTAAATGAGTAGTGTAGAAGAAACCATGACAGAATTTTTTACTGCACTCTTCTAAATTCTTGGTACACTATAAAAGGTTCAGTCAATTGTTGGGGATTCTGAGAAAGATAGATAGATAGATACTTCTTTTGGCAATGGCTGATGTTGAAAGTTTTGAGAAACTCAAAGCTACCCAGCAATTGTTAAAGGCTAGTCTAGAGAAATCTACTGCTCTTTCTTCAGCTATTGATGAAACTGGGTCTAGGTTGGAAGGCATGAAGCATAGATTGCCATCTTTGGAAGCTGCAATGAGGCCCATCACCATGCAAAGATGTGGATATTCTGCAATTAGGGACCAAATCAATGGTGCCATTGGCCCTGCTGCTGCTGTTCTCAAAGCCTATGATGTCGTTCGAGAGCTTGAGAAGTCACTCTCTTTTGCATCATGTTCTGATCTTCCTGCTTATCTTTCAGCCACCAAACGGCTTGAAGAAGCATTGAGGTTTCTTGCTGACAACTGTGAGCTGGCAACTCAGTGGCTGCAGGACATTGTTGAGTTTTTGGAAGGCAGTGCATTTGCCAATGATCGAAGCCTTTTGAGTGTGAAGAAAGCTCTCAGAATTCTACAGGAGTTGCATGCAATCGAGGGTTCAGCTCGTCTTGACGGAGGGCTTCTCAACGAGGCATTCAACGAACTTGAAGCTGAATTCATAATTTCATTAATGGAAAGCAGTGCTACTACAATCACCAGCATTGCTTCATCACCATTATCAGTGCTTGTAATTCAAAAGCTTCAAGCCATAGTTGAGAGATTGAATGCTGCTGATCGGCTTGAAAAGTGCATATTCGTGTACACTGAAGCTCGGAGTTTGAGTGCTAGAAGAAGCTTGCAGGCTCTTGATCTGGACTACCTTGAGATAGAAATCACAGAGTTTGTTGATAGGCAGAGCATTGACTCCTGCATTGACCAATGGGGGAAGCATTTGGAGTTGGTTGTGAAGCATCTGCTTGAGCTTGAGTACAAACTCTGCAACAATGTCTTTGAGAAGGTAGGATCAGATGCTTGGAAGTGCTGCTTTGCAAGAATTTCTCAAGAGTTTAGACTTGCTTCATTCCTCCAATTTGGAACTAATGTCACCAAGATGAAGAAGGACCCCATCAAGCTCTTGAAGCTATTAGATATATTTACAGTTATGGAAAATCTAAGATTGAATTTTAACAGGCTCTTTGGTGGGAAGGCCTGCGATGAAATTCAAACCCTGACAAGGGATTTAATCAAGAGAGTTGTTATTGGGGCTTGTGAGATTTTATGGGAACTTCCTAGCCAAGTGGAGTTGCAAAGGAGATTTTCTCCTCCTTCGGATGGTGGCGTTCCCGGGCTAGTAAGCTTTATAACTAATTACTATAATAAACTGCTAGGAGATGATTATAGGTCAAGCTTGATCCAGGTCTTGCAGATCCATCAAAGCTGGAAACAAGATGTGTATGATGATGGTGATGATGATGCTCTTTCCCATCAGATTTATAGTACCATGAAGGAGGTTGGGCTAAATTTGGATGCATGGTCCAAGGCCTATGAGGACATCTCCCTCTCCTACCTTTTTATGATGAACAATCACTGCCATTTCAGCCAAATGAAAGGCACACATCTTGGGGATATAATGGGAGATTCTTGGTTAGAAGCTCATGAGAAATACAAGGACTATTATGCAGCTCTCTACTTGAGAGAGAGCTGGGGAAAGCTTCTGCCTCTTCTAAGCCAAAAGGGTTTAATTTCCTTTCCTTTTGATCACCAGGATTTTGATAACAAGCTGCTCAAGGCATTCAATGAAGCTTTTGATGAAAGGTACAAGAAGCACTCCAATTGGGTCATATCTGACGAAGGCTTAAGGCAGAAGGTATGCCAACTTTTGGTGCAGGCAGTTGTACCTGTTTACAGGAGCTACATGCACAAGCATGGGGTTTTGGTTGAACAAGATGCAAGTGGTAGCAAGTATATTAAACACACTGCACAAAGCTTGGAGAAGATGCTGAGCTCCCTGTTTCAGCCCAAGATTGGCAAGTATTCCAGCACCAAACATATACGTTTTATTGGTAAACTGAAAAACGTCGTGATGAATCAGCTACATGTATCTCTCACGGCAATGTGACTTCATAGAAAGAGTAATGCTAGAAGGATCACATTTTTAGATTGTAGGATCATACATCTAATAGAGGCCAGAGCTGTCTAAACAAGCGGGTCCGAACTGATATAGTCTGTAATGTGATACAAATAGTGTTGAGGGTAAAAACTAGTTAGCCCTTTGTTGATGTAGTATTCAGTTTGTATAGATTTAGACTTGTGTTCATGTAGGATTCCGTTTGTATAGATTTACACCTACTGATTACTTACTATGTATTTATTTCAAGAGTAATGCTAGGCTTACCACATTTTTCATACCACAATTGTACCACCTCTCTAATAGAGGTGGGCCCCATTGTATTGGTGGGCTCCACCTTTATTAGAGAGGTGGTACAATTGTGGTATGAAAAATGTGGTAAGCTTATCATTTTTGTTATTTCAGTGATTATTTGTGGATTTCCTTTTAATTTTTTATATAGAGAAAATTAGTTAAAAGTCCACTTCAAGCCTTAAATAGTCTAATTAGTACAAACAATTAAAGCTTTCCTCTTCCGGTTGGAGCAAAAGGAAAAAAAGGTTATTCTGGTCCATTTTAAAAGTAACATTCATAGATGTCACTCTTGAATAGTAACCTATTGGATGTCACTGTTGGGCAGGTTGTCCATGTTTCATTGCTTCATTTTATTTCATGTTTTTCCTCCAATTTCTTCTTATGTCAAGAGCAAAAAAATGAATAAGAAAACTCCATTAGAGAGCAATCATTTTAACAAAAAAAATGCACCCATTGTCAATGCCAATGTCAGAAATGACATGGTCATAATAACTGGACCGGCTTGTTCTTATTTGAAGACGATGTACCATTTTGTCTTCGTGCATTCCTCTTTGTCCTTATATGGTAAGGCCCCATGTTTTTATTCATATATGATGTTCTTGGGTAATAAGCTTCTCCTTAACCATGCATATTTCTTGATTGAAAAAAACCCCATATATATTTTCGTCGCAAGCTTTACAGTGATTGTGGAGGCTAAGGAGAAAGACCGGTCTTTAACCTTATAGAACCCTCTGATTCAAACTTAGACAAATGATTTTTATCTATGTTTGCAGGGTACCTTTTGGGATTGAAATCCTCAATTAACTTCAACCCAATAATACAGAAGTACTATGAAAACCTGTCGTTACAGTCAAAATTCTGTCAATCTGATGGACAAAAATCAAGACATCACATTCTCATCCAAATTATCTGATAAGAAGAAAAGCAAGAGAGAAAGAAGAAGAAAAAAGAGAGAGAGAGAAGGAAAGGAAATAAAAAAAGAAAGAGGAGAGAGAGGACTGAACTCGGGGAGAGGAAGAAAGAAGGAAAAAAAAAAAGAAAAAAAAAAAGATATCCAATCTGAAGGGTTGAAATCACCCACGGTCAAAAACATAAATCCGTAACCACTCCGCATTTTCTGACTTCGCAATGGAGAAGTTCCCAACTTTATATACCAAGTAATTACTGAACAAAGTAAGCCGTCGAATTATTTTTACAAACTAATGCAGCACACTTTCATGCTGTGCAGTTATGCACACCCTCTATATCCATCCTAAAGAGGAAGTAGTAATTGACCCAAAAAAAGAAAAGAAAAAAGAGGAAGTGGTAGATCGGAGATGGTGTGTGTGAAAGAAAAGGCATGCAGACCGTAAAAAAAACAAAAATGAAATAGAAAACAGCCTTCAAAAGTTTAGAAGTAGATTTTACAGATCAACCTAATCTGCCCCCTGACCACCGGTTATTTAGTATGGTACAGTTAGTAAGCTGTATGTCATCCCAATGATGACATTCTGGAAATTAAGTGCTTTGAGTTGCAGCACGCTCTGTTGACGAAGCATTCCCCTCTTTGTCTGTATCAGAAAGATGTTTTGGGGCAGATGAGGAAACAATTTCGACACTAGCTGGAGCTGATGGTGGTTCTGCTTCCGTTGGATCAGTGCTGGGCTATCTCCGCCATTGAAGACTAGAGCTCGGATACCGTGGTTTGTTGGGGATGGCCTTTCTGTTACCATGTACGTGGAAAGGCTTCGGAGAAAGCTGGGCTGGGGCTGTTGCCGCAGAAGCTGCTTCTGCCTTCCTCAGCACCAATACAATAAGATCCTTGTGACTAACAGAATCTGTACCCATCTTGTGCCCTTTAATTGGAAAATTTTAATAGAAGAGAGAGAGATAGAATGTGAAACATGAGGGATACACACGGGTATAAAAGAGCTTGTCAAAGAAAAGAGGAATTCTATCTATTCAATTCTCTTTAAAAGATAAAAAAAAATAAAAAAATAAAATCTTTCCTTGATCAGAAATAGAAACTCTCAACCATGTGAACATGGACAAAGTAAGAACAATTGAGTAGCAGATTTACCACTCTCAACCATGTTAATCTCCATAAGGCCTATTCTCGTCTTTTTTATTTCTTTCTTTCGTTCTGTTTTATTTTTTGTTTATTTTTAGGTTTCCCACTTTTTTTCTTGTAATTTACCAGATCAATAACCTAATTGATCCTTTGAGACATATAAGGAACTGCTCACCTTCACAGTTCTTGAATAAAATGTTGTCCCACTCAATGCCACAGCTTTGTCAACAGATTCCTCGTTAGCAAAGGTAACATAAGCAGCCCTGATAATAGAATTGTCATAAAACTGTCCCAAACCACAGATAAAACATACAAACAGACTTTGGGTACTTCTCAGATATAGAATAGATGACTAAATAAGTGTTACCCTTGTCGGTTAGCAGTTAATATGTCTGTCAGCATTACCACATTGACAACCCCTCCACAGTTGGCAAAGAACAATGACAAAGCTTCTTTAGTTGCTTTAAAACGTATCTGTTTTATTTTTTCAAATAGTACATGGTATGCTTATGAGTTATTTTGAACAACAAATGCAGAATTTAAAACACGTTAAATAAATCAGAAGGAATAGTAGCAATATCTCCATGGAAATTAATCATAAATACCTTTCACTTTATTTAAACAAAAGTGTTCTACAACCCCTGCTTTCTGGTTAGATTAACTAAGAAGTGAACTCAAAGTGAGGATAACAGGCATGAATCGGCACACCCCTCTGGTTTCCATCTTTTACTATCAACTGCTTTACTTAGAATTACAATCCAACCAATTAAATACCTTCCTTTAATTATTTTCTGTTGGCAATACAGTCAGGCTCTTCTCATCACAATATTGTGAGCTTTAATGTTTCTCTCAATTACAGTCTACGTATTCTAGGGCCATCTTCTAAGGTTCAAAAAGTATTTCAACTTAAAACAAAGATTGAAGCAAATAACTCAAATAATTTAAACTTCCAAACAACATAGAAATATAAATGTGTGAAAAACCCTGCAATGAGGATTGGTACTGTAAATCCCCATATGGAATGTCCGAGAAAACGTTTTTAGACTTAGTGTCTAAATTATCATATGATTCCATCTCCAAGGTACGCGACAGTCATCAGAGGAAGTCCATCAATAAGCTTTGTTAACAAAAACAAATGACAGTTGTGGAGAAGAATTTATATTTATAATAAGAAAACAAGTACTAATAGACAAGGAACAATAAATTTAGTGAGAAAACCAATGCTCAATTATATTGGGACTACTTAGGTGTGTGTATTTACCAACCAAAAAAGAGAAAAAAGGAGCAACATACACAAATAGCTTACATTTGTTACTAATACAGTTCTTGAGTCAACCTCAATGTTTTTCTCTGAATCCTGTAGTATACCTCAAAGTGCACAAGTGCATTAGATTTCAGAAAAGTTAGTAAAGCTAGATCAATGAAATGATTATCAGTCAAGAGAGGAAAAATATGCATTTTAATGAGGAAGAGCAGAAGAAATCCTAGAGACCTAATTACAAGTCTTTATAATGGTTAAATATTCTTCATAACATGTTTGTGTTTCTGAGAAAATTTTACTTTGCTTAAAAATTGAAAAATCCATAACAATGCACAAAATCAGATTAAGACCTTATGTGAATAATCCTCACATCATAGTGTTAGCCTTCATCCTATGCATAGATAATTGAAGAAGTTCCAGACATACATTACACTATCCTGCTACATTTGCCTCTTTGAAAAAAAACAAAAAGAATATATCTGCCTCCTGCATAAACTGTTTATGAACAAAAAATTTAAAATATAGGTTACATAGCTGACAAGACAAGAAAAATCAAAGAAACAGAAGAACACTGGCCCATACAGAGATCAAAAGCTTTTTTCTTTTTCCAGGTACTGAGCTTGTAAACACCATCGCTATAGTTTCATTCTATCACACATCCACCCAAAACCACCTGCTCCCCCTACTTTCCCACACGCACACACACATGTATTGTAGTTCTGAACAAAACTGAAAGCATTTATATGTAGAAATGAGCTTCATATTTTAGCAAATTGATCCAAGTTACACAGAGGCTTTACCAGAATTCGACAAATGAATCATTTTCCATCTTTTTTCTCCATCGCTAGCTGCTTCGAATGAAGCTTTAACATTTCCATTTCAATTTGGTGCAATCTTTGTTTCACATCAAGCACTTCCTGGGGGCAAGATATTCAAAACAAGTCTCTAACCAATTCAGGGAGGAAAAAAGGAAGTTGATTCTCAAAATCCAATCTATCACACAATTCAATCCTCACAGCTAGCACAGGCTTCAGATTCACAGTAAATTTATCTTACATCAACTATGATCTATGAGGAAAAGAACATACCGATACCAGGCTTTGAGTAGTCTTCACCATTTTTGGTGAAGTTTGATTTTTTGAAATCCTGTGAGATAATTTTGCATTGAGGATACATGTTTCTCTCATGCACCAAAGAAACTGAACTAGTACCAGTGTGAGTTCACCAAAGAGCCTCTTCCGCCCAATATTATTTGCAATATGCGGTCCACCCATTGCACTACCACCATGCTCCACTTTCTTTGTCTCAACAGGGTAACCATAAGACCTCTTACTAAGAGATCCGACGGGAGAGGCATCAGAACCGTCCGTCGAAGACGGTGCTTGTGATGATGACGGTGGCGGCGACACAGAGAGA